CAACATTCCCAAGAATCTGGCAAGTTGTCAGCTCTCTTAATTCTGCACACTTTACTTGCCAAAATCTCACCCACTTGAACAAAACCCTTTTAGGAGATTATTTGCTCCAGGAATTGTTGCATCATCCTTCTGCCCAGCAGACAGGAAGAAAAAGTATATGCGCTCTGTCAAAATGAGTATCCTCAAAAAGAAAATCCTGATGTAGACCTTTGACTACAGAATCTCACCTCACTGTGGGCTTTTATTTACGATTACCCCTAATTCAGGGTGCCAAAAGCAAGCCAAGCACAGCATCTTGGATATCTTTTCCATCTCTTATGTAGACATCTGCAGTTCAGGCTCTGCTTGCAAAGTTCCAAAGGCATGACCTGGACGGTTGCCACTGGAAACACAACACTGGACTGACTTTAGCACGGGTTCAGATATTCCTAAATCCACATTTAGCCCTGGTTGAGCTGCCGACTCCTGTTTTACCGTCACAATATTAAAGGCCGAGGTTTTAGTTCGTATAGTATAAAAGGGTTTTTGCACAATCTCAAACACTCAAAAGTATGTTCAGTCCCATAAAAATTAACATTCATAGAAGTGGGAAGAACTGAACACTTAGGCTGTTCCTATACAACCTATTTTAGCCTTGTTTGCACACTCTCTTAGGACTTGGGCTGAATCTACACCGCAATATAATGCAGTTTAAACTCCATTCGCTGGCCAAGGTAGACCAGCTGCATTATGTGGCAGTGTAGATCCCGCCTCGATCCCCTTGAACTCAGGGCCCTTCCAGACAGGCCTTATATCCCAGGATCTGATTCCAAGTTTTCTGTTTATCCCAATTATCTTGCAGTGGAGACTCATACAATCCAGTTTAATGCAGAAAACCTGGAATCAGATTCTGGGATATAGGGCCTGTCTGAAAAGGCCTTAAGAGGGGCTTCCTTCTGAGTAGTAATGGATATATAATTGCTGTGTAAGAGTATGCCAATAATAAATAATAATAAAACTTTATTTATACCCTGCTACCATCTCCCCAAGGGACTCGGTGCGGCTTACATGAGGCCGAGCCCATAGAACAACAATAATAAAAGCAATAACAAAACATCAATACAAAACAATCAAAATAAATCTCATAAACAAAAAATAAACAATAAACAGTAACAACAATGCCAAGGCATTCTGGAGACTGCAATCCTCAAGTCACTAATTTAGGACTACAACCCACCTGAACATAAGCATTTAAACTGCTTTAAAATAAACAACGATTATAATAACAGCAATTATAATAACAACAATAATGGATGGGCTAAATACACCAAAGGCACCAGATACCATCTAATACTGGACACTAAGCTGGGTCAGGCATGGTTGATGTATAGGTAGGTGGGTTGCTGTACCAGTTGCTATAAGCTGTATTTCATGGCCCTTCCACATAGACATATAACCCATAATATCAAGGCAGATAATCCACAATAGCTGATTTGAACTGGGTTATTTAAGTCAACACTGCCATATAACCCAGTTCAAAGCAGATAATGTGGGATTTTATACAGATGTATGGAAGGGGCCTTAGAATAAGGAACTAGCAAAACCACCTCCTTACCTAAGAAAACCCTATGAAAGTCGACAGGAGACAAGGCATGTACACACATACTTTTATTCCTATCCTGCTGTTGCCAAGATTGCGACTCAAATGTGGCTCAAAACTTAGTGGCACACAATCCACTTCTAAGTATACAAAAAAGTGAGTATCCATATAGAACAAAACTAACTGCAATGACAACAACATTTGAAAAGTAGCTGCTATACTCCAGAAATTTCATTTTTGTGGCTGAGGCTAGTATGATTATTTCCTTCCATCGAGGCAATTTCCCTTAATAGAAAGATGCCAGTGTAAACTTTTTGTGCAGACCGCAAAAACAAACAAACTTTCCCCATGGTTTCCTATGACAGAACCAATTAAGAAATGACATTTATTTATAACCCGGGAACAAAAATGGTGTAATATAAAACATGTCAAGGCCAGAATCAAAGAAGAACATGCCACTGGAAAGGTAAAACTCTCTTAAGATGTATTGCCGAAGGCTTTCATGGCCGGAATCATTGGGCTGCTGTAAGTTTTTTGGGCTGTATGGCCATGTTCCAGAAGCATTCTCTCCTGATGCTTTGCCTTCATTTATGGCACATATCCTCAGATGTGAGATCCTGTTTGCCCATGCCTGCTCTATGCTCATGTTAAGAGACTGGTTTGCTTTAAGTTTTCTGGGCTGTATGGCCATGTTTCAGAAGCATTCTCTCCTGATGTTTCGCCTAGATTGTGTATACAAATACAGGCAGTATACAAATACAGTAAATAATAAATAAATAAATGGTCTCCTGATGTTTTGCCTGCATCTATGGTTCTCACAACCTCTGAGGATGCATGTCATAGATGCAGGCAAAACCTCAGGAGAGAATGCTTCTGGAACATGGCCATACAGCGCAGAAAACTTACAGCAACTCAATCTCTTAGCATGAGCATAGAGCAGGCATGGGCAAACTTGGGCCCTCCAGGAGTTTTGGACTTCAACTCCCACCATTCCTAACAGTCTCAGGCCCTTCGTTTTCCCCCCTCAGCCTAAGGCTGTTAGGAATTGTGGATTTGAAGCCCCAAACATCTGGAGGACCTAAGTTGGCCCATGCTTGCTGTAAACCAGTGGTTCTCAACCTGTGGGTCCCCAGATGTTTTAGCCTTCAACTCCCAGAAATCCTAACAGTTAGTAAACTGGCTGGGATTTCTGGGAGTTGCAGGCCAAAACACCTGGGACCCATAGGTTGAGAACCACTGCTGTAAACTATATTTCAGAATACAGTTTATATGGGGGGGGGGGGGGGGGGGGGGGGAGGGCCTGAGGCTGTTAGGAATGGTGGGAGTTGAAGCCCAAAACTCCTGGAGGGTCCAAGTTTGCTTCTGCCTGGCATTGGGGGGGGGGGGGGGGGGAGGGAGAAAGACACAACACATAGGGGAACCTCAGAAGTCACACAATGAAACATTTAATTATGATTTTAAACATTTTTCATTTTATGCAAACTGGGTTTTTTTTTATAGTTATCCATACCTGTGTATGTAAAATAGTCAGAAAGCTCTAGTCATAAGAAAATGCTTTATTGCCTACTCCCATTCTTATGTTTGCTTTTTTAATTAATGTGATATCAGGATATATGGAGACATACTCTGAAATTCTCTTGATCATGAAGATATATTTCTTGCCTTGTAAGGAATTTCCTAAAACATATGATATGGAGGGAGGAAGAGAAATAGCTGATGGCACTATTGCTATTATCCAGATCAGGGGTCCCCAAACTAAGGCCCGGGGGCTGGATGCGGCCCTCCAAGGTCATTTACCTGGCCCTCGCTCAGAGTCAACCTAAGTCTGAAACAACTTGAAAGCACACAACAACAACAACAACAACAACAATCCTATCTCATTAGCCAAAAGCAGGCCCACATTTCCCATTGAAATACTAATAAATTTATATTTGTTAACATTGTTCCTCATTTTAATTATTGTATTGTTTTTAAGTGTTTTTTACAGTACAATTAAGCTATGTGCAGCGTGCATAGGAATTCAGTCATGTTTTTTTCCAAATTATAATCCCGCCCTCCAACAGTTTGAAAGACTGTGACCTGGCCCTCTGTTTAAAAAGTTTGAGGACCCCTGATCTAGATGGAAGGAGCCCCCGGTGGCACAGTGAGTTAAACCCCTGTGCCGGCAGGACTGAAGACTGACAGGTCACAGGTTTGAATCCGGGGAGAGCACGGATGAGCTCCCTCTGTCAGCTCCAGCTCCTCATGTGGGGACATGAGAGAAGCCTCCCACAAGGATGATAAAACATCAAACATCCGGGCGTCCCCTGGGCAACATCCTTGCAGATGGCAAAATTCTCTCACACCAGAAGCGACTTGCAGTTTCTCAAGTCACTTCTGACACACACGCACACAAAAAACTAGATGGAAACAGTTTTCCCTATAACATATTAACCAATAATTGGAGCCCTCAGCGCAGTGGGTTAAACCCCTGTGCCGGCAGGACTGAAGACCGACAGGTTGCAGGTTTGAATCTGGGGAGAGGCGGATGAGCTCCCTCTATCAGCTCCAGCTCCTCATGCGGGGGCATGAGAGAAGCCTCCTACAAGGATGGTAAAACATCAAAATCATCCGGGCGTCCCCTGGGCAACATCCTTGCAGACGGCCAACTCTCTCACACCAGAAGCTACTTGCAGTTTCTCAAGTCGCTCCTGACATGACAAAAAACAAACAAAACAAAATCCAATAATTCTAGTTAGGAATAGTTTGCATGGACTTTCCTTTGAAAATGTCTTAAATTCGAGTGAACGGTGAAGTATGTTATACTTATTTTGTACAAGTTGCCATTTGCATACAGCACTAGACACGTTTTCGTGTATATTTTCTGATTATATATTTGTTTGTGTGTGTGTCAAATAATTAACAGAAAGGGGGGGGGGGAGAGATGCCACACACAGAGTGAATTTAGAGCTGGAAGAGACCTCGTGGTGGGGCACCCAGTCCAAGAAGGAATGCAGCTTGGCCCCACTTCTTCTAGGGCCAGGGCTCAGTGTGATGGGCTCCTGGGAAGAAGTAGTTTGGGGAGGCACTGCTAGGGCTCTTGGGCAGGGAAGACTCCATAGCTCCATAGCCTTGAGCCTGGGCAGTTCACGCGGGGTCAGGTTGCATTCGTCCCCCAGTGGAGACAGGCAGAGAGGGGCGACTCTTCCTGGGAGGAAGAAGGTCAGGGCAAAGGAAGGAAGGGAGGGAGGGAGGGAGGGAGGAAGGAAGGAAGGAAGGAAGGAAGGAAGGAAGGAAGGAAGGAAGGGAAGGAAGGAAGGAAGGAAGGAAGGAAGGAAGGGCGGTCGGGTAGAAAGCTCGAGAAAGGCGAGAGGGGAGAGAAGCGCCTGCCTGCTTGCCTGCCTGTCTCCCTTGCCCTGCTTTGCTAAGTTGCCAGGCTTACCTGCGGCGGCGGCGGAGAAGGCGCAGAGCAACTCCAGGAGGCAAGGCAGCGGGGCGCGCATAGAGAGAGAGAGAGAGAGAGAGAGAGGCGCCTTGGCCAGGCTCCCGGCCGTCTCCCTTTCCCAGCCCCAGAATGACAGGCTCTCTGCCTGCCTGCCTGCCTTCCTCTCCCTCTCTCTCTCTCTGCAAAGGGCATGACGGGAAATTCCTCGGCCCCAGCTGCCCAGGCAGCTCCAAATATGAGCATCCAGGGAGAGAAAAGGACGGAGAAAGCGGGGCCCATTCCCAGCAACTCCTCGCCCGCCTTAAAGTCCTCTCTCTGAGCTTTCAGGGCAGTTTGGTGCTGAAGACAGAAAGGAAATATATACAACTAGCTGTCCCCTGCCACGCGTTGCTGTGGCCCAGTCGGGGTGTATATGTTTTGTGTGTATATATATGCTTTTGCCCATGCAAAAGTATTTTGTTTTTTGCTTTTAAGCCCCTTTTGCTGTGTTTTTCATTTTTTTTATGAATGATGCTCACTCGTTGGCCTGATAGGTGTCTTGTGTCCAAATTTGGTGTCAATTCGTCCAGTGGTTTTTGAGTTATGTTAATCTCCTCAGCTTATTATTATTAACTAGCTGTTCCTGCCATGTGTTGCTGTGGCCAATCTTCCCTCTTTCTCTCCTTCCTTCCCTCTTTTTCTTTTCCTTCTTCTTTCTTCCTTCTCTACCTGTATCTTTCCTCTCTTCCTTTGCTCTTTTGTTCCTTCCTTCCTCTCTCTTCCTTCCCTTTTTCACTTTTTATTTTTTAATTTCCTTCTCCTCTTCTCTACCTTTCTTTCCTTCTCTCCTTCTTGCCCTCTTTTTCTCCCTCCTTCTCTCCTTGCTTCTCCCTTTTTGTGTATATGTGTATTGTGTGTGAATATATATGCATATATGTGCGTTCAAGCATGTGGGGGGGGGGGCTTGAGGGGCTTCAGTCTCCCCCCCCCCCAAATTCTCAGGGTGGTCTGCAAGAAGGCCTTACTGGTACATTATTTAAACTGTTATGTTTATTCATATTATGATCTGATCACCATGCTGCATGGGGTATTGGGGTAATGATACAAAAGGTTTGCTAGGGTAGACCCTCTTTCACTCAGACTCAGCCCCCCCCCGAACCAAACTCAGACGCCCCCCCCCCCGAATAAAAATCCTGGCTACGGGCCTGTGTGCGTGTATATATTTGTGTATATGTTTGTGTATATTCTGTGTATGTGTTTTGTGTGTGTATATATGCATATATGTGTGTATATTTGTGTATACGAGTATGTGTGTGTTTGTGTATATTCTGTGTATATGTGTTTTGTGTGTGTTAATATGCACATGTGTGTATATATTTGTGTATATGTGTATATATGTATGTTTGTGTATATATGTGGTTTTGCGCATGCATTGTATTTCTTTTGGCTTTTCAAGTCCCTTTTGCTGTGTTTTTCAGTGTTTTTATGAGTGATGGTGACTCAGTGGCCTATAAGGTGCACTGTGTCCAAATTTGGTCAATTCGTACAGTAGTTTTTGAGTTATGTTAATCCCACAAACGAACACTACATTTTTATTTATATAGATGTGATTGGTACCATTCGGAACTCATTCAGATCTCTCCCACTCTGTTCAGTTAAGGCAGTTTTGATTCCACTTGATCTATAGCAGCATTTCTTATCCTGTTGGGGTCGCGAGGGGGTGTCAGAGGGGTTGCCAAAGACCACCAGAAAATACAGTATTTTCTATTGGTCATGGGAGTTCTGTATGCCAAGTTTGTTTGAATCCCATGATTGTTGGAGTTCAGAATGCTTTTTAGTCATAGAGGTTCTGTGTGGGAAGTTTGGCCCAATTCTATCACTGGTGGGGTTCCTCTTTGATTGTAGATGAACTATAAATCCCAGCAACTACAACTCCCAAATGTCAAGGTCTATTTCCCCCCAAACTCCACCAGTATTCACAATTGGGCATATTGAGTATCCATGCCAAGTTTGGTCCAGATCCATCATTGTTTGAGTTCATAGTGCTCTCTGGGTTACGTGAACTACAGCTCCAAAACCAAGGTCAGTGCTCACCAAACCCTTCCAGTATTTTCTGTTGGCCATGGAAATTCTGTGTGCTAAGTTTGGTTCAATTCCATCTTTGGTGGAGTTCAGAATGGTCTTTGATTTTAGGTGAACTATAAATCCCAGCAACTACAACTCCCAAAAGACAAAATCCCCTCCCAACCCCACCAGTATTCAAATTTGGGTGTATTGGGTATTTGTGCCAAATGTGGTCCATTGCATGAGAATCCATCCTGCATATCAGATATTTACATTACAATTAACAGTAGCAAAATTAGTTATGAAGTAGAAATGAAAATAATTTTATGGTTGGGGGTCACCACAACATGAGGAACTGCATTATGGGGTCGCAGTATTAGGAAGGTTGAGAAACACTGAAATATAGAATGTGTTTAGTACTACTCCATCTCACTCAGATCTATCCGTTTTCATGCCACTTGATTTTGATTGATTTCGATCAACTATAAAATGAGTTTGGTGCCCCTTGATCTCAATCAAATCTATCCCACTCTCTTGAATTAAGGAAGTTTGATACCACTTGATAAAATATATTCCACACAGTTTACAGTTAGTGAATGCATGTTCATACCACTTGATCTCAATGAAATATATCCCACACTCTTGAATGTAGTTTGATACCACTTGAGCTCAATAAAATATATTCCTCGCCGTTGAATGAGCTTGACACCACTTGAGCTCTATAAAAGGTATATCCCACTCTGTTGAATTAAGGCAGTTTGATACCAATTGAGCTCGATAAAATGTACCGTACGCTGTTGAATAAATGCAGTTGGGATACCACTTGATCTCAGTAAAATATATCCCATGCTGTTGAATTAATGTAGTTTGATGCTACTTGATCTCAGTGAAATATATTCTTACACTGTTGAATTAAGGCAGCTTAATACCACTGATCTGTGATAAAATATATTCCAAAATTGCAGACTTTTAGAAACTCGTGAATGAATTGTGAAATTACTCGTGTATAAGAAGCTAGCAAGTGTAAGGAAAGTTTAACCTTTGGCACTGAACCGCAAATGTAGAGTGCATCTATGCCAGGCATAGGTAAACTTCAGCCCTCCAGGTGTTTTGGACTTCAACTTCCACAATTCCTAACAGCCTACTGGCTGTTAGAAATTGTGGGAGTTGAAGTCCAAAACACCTGGAGAGCCGAAGTTTGCTCATGCCTGATCTACACTGTAAAATAAATGCAGTTGGCACTACTTGATCTCCCAACGGCTCAATGCTAATGGGGGCTCCAGTTTTACATCTTTAGCCTTCTCTACCAAGGAGTGCTGGTGTCTTGCCAAACAACAACTCCCAGGAACCCATAGCATTCAGCCATGCAGTTGAAGCAGCATCAAACTGCATTAATTCAAGTGTAGAAGCCCGCTCAGTTCCCCTATGCGTTGTGTCCTTCTCTCCCTCTATGCTCATATTAAAGAGTTTTACCTTTTCAGTAGCATGTTATCCTTTTATTCTGGCACTCGGAGTTGTGGCCCAAAACCCCTAAAACATACTTTTCAAAAGTCCTGGGCATTTCTATATTTCGCAAAGCAAGAACAGCATAGAATGTTTTGGGGAAAGAGCTAATATGAGCTTATTTTGCTATTCAGTAAACTGTAAGGACACAACTGATAAGTTTGTGGCAAATTTAGGTAAAGAAAATATTTTATTCATGTAGCACTTAAAAGATTGCCTCCTCTCATCAATTGTTGAAACAGATTGATCATTAAGGCCCACATAAAAACAGGCTGATATAATGAAAAGGGAAACCACTGATTGGTAACAACTGATGTACTTTAAAGCATGGTGAAGTTTTCAAATTGCCTCTAGGCATGAGATCTTTACAAGAACAAACAGAATTATCTCCTCCTGCTCTTAAAACAAGCTGTTTACAGAGGAAGGACCAAACCAAAGAAGTAAATCAGAACACATCATTTTCCCCCCAAATACCAATTTCCATACAATGGATTAGATACAAATGTAGATATGAGACATTATAAAGTAGGTTGCTTTGGCTGGCAGCAGTTGTAAAATGAATCATTAACACATTCATTCCTTCTACAATCAAGGGGGGAAAGGAAATGAGGGATATTTCAAAGTAATCTTTTTCACTTTACAAGAACTGTGATACAAAAGGAACATTTAAGGGAATTTAGTATTCGCATGACTAAAGTATTTGAATGACTAAAATACTGCAAAGCTTCTCCCTGCAAAGTTAAGGAAGCACTGCTGTTGGCAGGTATTACTTGCAAAGTGAACTAAAGTCTCTTCCAGATCACATCCTTCTACTTTTTAGAGCTGTAGAGTGGCAAGAAGCAGAAGATGCCCATAAATTATGCTGAGGGCATGGACAATGTTTTGGGATATGACCTATTGTGCTTTTGTGTACTTTTCAATGCCATCACCCCAAAAGATGGATGCCAAAGAGGTGTTGTCCAAATTTTGATAGGTTTTTAAAAAACTGACACATATATAAAAAGCCCTAATAAATCTTTAATTAGTTTTGATTCGCTTTTGTGTTTTTTTACAGGACAAATTACAAACATCTGGTTTCTCAAATGTCCAAGGTATTATACACATTCCCATCTGTCTTGCAGGGAGGAATATTGGTCAACATTTTAAAGATAAAATAAGCTGCATAATAGTACAGATTACCATAATAAATGTACAGTGTTTACAAACAGTTTAGAAGCAAGAAAGATGCATCTGCATCAAAAGGCAACCTTTTAAACTGCCACAACTAAATTTTACATTCACGCTTGCAAACAGGTCACAAGATGGGTACTAAGATTAGATCAATAAATCACTATGATGCACAAATACAGCAAAATCTGATTATATACATATAAATACATATACATGTATATTGTACATTTTCGTATATGTATGTCGTAAATCTCATGGAAAATCTACCAGATGCAACAGACTACTCACATTTCAAAAATATGTACTTGTTCTTGGTGAGTAGTGTTTTGCATGGTTGATTATATTACACATACTTGTTTGTTAGCATCCAGGACATTAAACTGACTAAGGGTTTTTTCCAGATAAGAAAATGTCAATTATTAAACATGTTGCCCACAAAAAAAGCACAAAGGTAAGGCACAATAGGATTTTTCATTACAGAAGTGTGCATCATGTTCACTTAACCATAAGAAACGTGCATTATTTGTGCAAGTTCATGCTGCAGATCATTACTATAAAAATGGGTTTTAAGTAAATTCATTTTAAACCGGTTGATTTCCCATCTCTTCACCTATGCAATACCCAGCTGGATCGGCAAATTATGCTGCTTCCGCAGGAATGGTTATCTCCAATTATTCTGTATTTTCAGCTAAACTTCAACCATTTTGCAGTTTTAGGTGTAAACAATGCACACATTTAATATCACACACAACTCTTCCGTAAGTTTACTGCATCTCTAAGCTCTAACAATCAAGATTTATTTCCAAAATATGTGCACTTTTTTCAGTTTTACACATGTTTAAGGAATCATACAGGAAAGTGGTACATAGCCAATGCCTTGCTTTTGTAATAAATAACTTTTCACAAAGTTTTTGGAGTACCTGCCAACTGCTTCTTTATTGCTCACATAATTCCGAATCCATTATCACAGTTACAGACCATTCACACATAAATCATAACCATATACTTTAATATAAAACCTATAAAAGATATTGAACTTGGAATCTAATACTTCAAGGTGTTTGGCCTTTATGTAATGGTACAGCCAAAATATATAAAACATTAGGTTATGAATAAAATAAGGAAGCTTATTCACTGCTTTAATGCAGACATCCTCACAAAACAAGATTACCTTTGCTGATGCCACCACCACCATCTAAATGTATATACAAAACAGGTACATCTGCATTCAGTTGGTTTTCCCTCTCCAGCCACTAAGACCACCTCTCTTCCCCATCCCTCGGCCAACACAAATGAAGCTCTTACAGCAACAGAAACCCAAAACCAGACAGAAACTAACACTTCTACTTACTTTCCATCAGAAACTGCAGGTGGTTTTGTTACAAAATACCCACAAGATTATTTCACAGGAAACTACGGAAATACAGTACATCTCCATGCTTTTAGACTGTTATCAAACACTTGTTTGGTGCAAAAATACAGCCACATCTGAAAATGTTCAATAAATTCAACATTTGTCATGCAAAACATAATGTGTTGGTTTGTATAAGCTCCAAAATACTTTACGGAGGAATTGTTCTTGTAACTCAGCACTACTGCCTCATTGCTCATTTTTTTTAAAAAATGACTTCCTTGAACATCGTTTTAATGAAAATGTTACATATAAAAGTACTAAAAGTGGAAGACAGGGCCAGACAGGAAATGTTCCCGCTGAAAGTCAACAGTTCTAATATCAATAAAACGTCTCAGGAGTTTCCCTGAGAATTAGCTGTGCCTGTCCGCAGACGAAGATGCGACATTGAGTTCATGTGTGTATTTGATGGTTTCAATGGAACACTACAACTAACAGCCTGGGGAAAACGATGATGATATCGATCTAGTCGTAGATATTTTACCGTTACCAGTTTGCCTATAGTAAAACACAAATCAACAGATTAGGATTTTGCCATTAGCAAAACTACAACATTCACAGGTTTACAGTTAAACATGATTTTAAAAACCATATATAATATTTTAATCCATTTATTTATTTTATTTTATTTACCACACTTTTACCCTGGCCTTATGTAATTATATGTTTGTATTTTAATGTATTTTATGGATTAGTGTATTATGAGGTGTGATGTTTTTATACTATTGTTTATGAATCTCTGGTTGTGAACCGGCCTAAGTCCTTCTTCGGAGGTCGAGAAGACCGGGTTATAAAAGCTCTAAATAAATAAATAAATTCTCACCCCAAAGGGGACTCAGGTTGGTCTTACAAAGGCAACAATTCAATGCAGCATATACATATTGATAAATAAACAAATGCATTAAAATCCAAAACAATTAAAACATAAACATTAAAACAGCAATTAAAATCACAGTCAAAAAAATTAGCCACACTTCTTGTTCATGTTGATTTAGTACCAGCTAGCCCCAAGATCTGACTGATTGATTTTGTAAATCAAAATTTCTTACCGTCAAACCAAGAGCCGTGTAATGCTTTAAAAGCCTTTCCGGCATATTCTGGAGACAAACACTTGACATACACGCAGCCCTGAGGAAGGAAATAAAAGTCTAATTTAGATCTAACACTGAAATCAAATAAATATAATTTTTAATATTAATAGTCCTTTTTTTTACCTCGCGTGAATTTTTGTCCACAGCTATGTGAACAATTCCCTCATTATCACTACATTTTTCCAAGATTGCTTCTTGAATTGCCAAGTGCCAATGATCTCCTATTTCCCTAAAAAAAAAAACAACAACAACACACACAAACATAAATCAAATGTGTCAATGATACAATTAATTTTAGTTGATTAAAGCAGTCTCAAGTTACTAAGGCCCACACTACTAATAAGCAATTCTGCAGTCAAAACATTTCGGAAGACTGGAGTCCCCTTCCACACAGCTGAATAAAATCCCAAATTTTCTGCTTTGAATTGGAATATATAGCAGTGGGGACTCAGATAACCCAGTTCAAAGCAGATATTGTGGGATATTGTGGGTTATATGGCTGTGTGGAAGGGCCCTAACTCAGAGAAAATACTATAAATACAAAGAGAGAATAGGATACATGGGGAGTGGAGGAGAGGACTTGTCTTGCAGCTAACAGCTTGTGAGTCTACAAGTGGGTGATCCCCCTCTGAACACAATTTTTCACTATAATTGTACATTTTTGAGGATAAAAAAGAAATGCCTGCTGAATGTTAAGCAAGAAAAATGTACATTTCTTTTAGAAATGTAAAAAGTGAGATTTATTTTAGTATTGTATGCTACCTAATAAACAAGTCACTGTGGTATAATGGTTTGGTGTTGGTCTAGGACACTGAGATCAGGGATTGAATCTCTGCTTCGCCAAAGAAATCCACTGGATGACCTTAGGCAAGCCACACACTTTTGGCCTAAGAGGGAGGCAAAGGCAAACCCACTCTGAATAAATTCAGTGATAGGTTCACCTTAAGTGTTGCCATAAGTCTGATATGACATGAAGACACAAAACAACTGCCTAACACTATGTTCACTTAACCCGAATTAAGAAGACATCTTGAACACACTGCCAGTCAAGAAAAATACTGCATCACTTTCCTCTGACATTACATAACAAGTGTTACAATCTCTTTCAGTGGTCGAGATATCATAGATTTAATCCCTGCCATTTCAAGTGAAAAGGAATTCAAGATGGAGAGTTGAGAAAGACCAACATCTTTGACCTTAAAGGATCCAGCCTGAGTAAATAGCATAGGATAAAATAACCAACAGTAACATCTAATATAAAGAAGTTTCATTTGTTCCCAAAGAACACACATACACATCAGAATGGGGGGAAACGGGACAAGCAGTTCCTGTGTTCCATGCCACCAACACTCAAAAGGGGATGAACACAAGCAGAAAACACCTCTCTGATTAAAGCTGATTGAATTGGGAGGTAGAGCAGGTTTACATAAGGAAAAGTACAGCAGAGCAACTACCCCAATGCATCTCTAGATTATGTGCAGATAACAATTATCGTGAAACTCCTCAAATTTTCAATTTAAAAATAACCCAGATAGAAGGTTAAATCTAGAGTACCAAGAATATAGATTTCATACAGGCAAGACAGCTGTAAGGAATAGGAATCTGCAGTATGTGAGCATTAAACAGGGACCCGCTTTTGAAGCTGCAAGATGGATATTAGTTTGTTTCTCACTTAATCCCCTGAACACGCATAGTGGGCATCTCCTGGATGAGAGGAAATATCCTTATGCTTTCTTTACAGTGTTTTTAACTAAACCCCAGAGGTGGGAAAGTCAGAATAAAATCCCGGGGAGATAAAATCCTGGGGAGAGATATGTGGGCTCCTTACAGGCCAACTATCAGGAATATGGACAGCTGTGTAATTAAAAATAAATTTTAAAATATTGCAAAGCAAATCTGTTCTGTTCTTCCTTCTTCAGCTACCCAATGCTAGCACTCTTTTTTCCAGTTTTAATAAAACATTTATTTGAGGAAAAAATAGTTATATACATATACTGTATACATATACTATACATTTTCCCCTCTTTTATTTTCTTTCACCCCTGTGCTCCCCTTCTCCAGAGCCATCTCTTGTTCTAAAGTCCCACCAAAAGTTCAATTCTTCATTTGGAGGTAAATTCCCATCTTCTTTTTCCAATATTTTTCTAAAAAAAATTTCCTAATACTTTCTAAGTCAATTTTTCCATAATCCCTTCTTTACATTTAAGTTTGATGTTAGCTTGTCAATCAGTCAATGCTAGCACTCTAAGATGAAATAGATAAGAAAGCAGCAATCCCTTTACTTCTTCAGCATCTAGATGCCATACACAAATATAATATTGTCTATTTAAATTGAATGAAAAAAGCGTACTTACATGACAGGATCAAACATATTGCGTATCTTTAAGCAAGGTGTCAAACTATTTGGTGGTGAATTTCTTCTGTCTAAGTGAAATGCTGCCAAGATTTTAAAAGAAGATAAGAATATTTAATTAGTAACAGAACATTATTTTTTGAAATGTATTAATATTATCTGATACTTTTATGAAGTATTCTTTATGTATCATGCACCACAGTACAATGAAACCATATGAGTTGTAGAACTTTAGGCTATTTCTGAATACAGAAACTGATAAAGTCAACCTGCAATATTCAAACAATGTAGATAAGTAAGATGTAAGTGTGTGTTTATATGCGCAACTGTGTTTTCATTTATGGTCTCAGAATGCATGATTGTGCTTTTAATGAAATAATCATTTGTACCTTGGTCATCCACATTCTATGTGGCCACAGTATAGTAGCTTTTCTCACTTACACTTGACATAAGAAACAAGCAATCCCATTTGAAAGTAACCAAAAAATATTAGCAACAAAGCTGCACTAAATCAATGTCCATCTGACTATGCTGGAAAACCTAAAAGAAGGACCAATCCTTTCTGTTTTCTCAAGTTCTGGTCTTTTTTTGAATGCCTGGGCGGGGAAATGGCAGCCACCAGTGGCAGCTGAAACTTGAAGTGGCATTGGTGTATTCCCCTCTTTGTTATGACCCTCAGCTTATCCAGGGATCACAGTTTTGGCCCCCAAATTATATATACTCATACTTACACATATAGAAGTAAATACAGTAAATACATGACAATTAATTTTAGCTCATGAACTGGAATTCTTCAGTCCCACGTCATATTTCCTTTTTTGAGAAAGCAAATCAGGAGCCTAACAGAACTGCTGATAAGAGACAGCAAGACAGTCGTGCCATGTCAACCTGTCACAATCATGACTTACAGATCCCACAGCTGGCTATGACAGCTGCTATTGTTCTTTCCTAAGGCTGAACTCCTGCTAGGAAAAGATGACTAACATACAGCAATAAATAGAGATTTATTTCTGATGTGGGCTGTAGGTCTGTTTTGAACCCCGAGTCCCCATAGAAGAGAGGCTATAAACACACACACACACACACATATATATATATATTCTCAGTAGGGGACACAAGATCCCTGCCTTTAGAACATTTATATGGCTGACTATATAATGAGAGATCACTATGATAATCAGAGATACAGACTAGGCAGATTTTTAAGACAAATGTTATGCTTGGGTTACCTAACAAGATGTAAAATAAATCATTTTTCAGAATTGTATAGATTCATAAATGCAATTACAGATACCCAAAGAAACTTTCATTGAGTACAGATTAGAAAAATGTTTGTTGACTAAAATTTAATTGACAAAAATGAATCTGTATAAACAAAATCTGTTTTGAAACAACCTATGTTCTTGAGTAAGTCCTAAATGCCGATTAGAGTGAAAACAAGTCTTTCAAGATGACCCAATTGTTGCGTACCTTGTCCTTGCCATACTTTAGATGGTATGACCAACATTTTGTCACATGATGCAGATGGCTGTATCCATCTCCAAACCAGAAAGTCAGCACCACCTATTCTCCGTGTTTCTGTGCGAACTCTAGATTCATTAGCAGCAAGGAAATCCACAGCTCTAGTCCATACCTTCTTCATTTTTTTCCTAAAATATAAATCCAGGGATGGGGAGGTGGGGAAAAGAATAGAATTGGGGTTATTTTAGTAAAATTACTTATCTGACTGTAAAGAGCACTATAGTTCTTATACCAAAGCCTAACAATGACAGTGCATATTTCAGTTCCTTGGGATAGCTAATGTAGCAACAATATATAATTCTTTCTACATACCTGTCTTGAGGTGGAATCAAAGAATCTCGAACATGGGGAATAGGCATGTAGGGTTGCAAGTCTTTGTTTTCCTGACATGCTTCACTGTGGGTTCTTAAAACATCTGAAAGCATTGCATTATGTTAACTATGAGGAAAATCAAGCTGAAACCAATCATATTTATAAAGCCAATGAAGAGTATGTACTAATAGTGCAAATATCATTTTGGCAAGCAAGGAGATAAATGCACTTCTGATGAGAAGAGCAACCAAACAGCATAATGTTTCATGCAAAATATGAAGAATAGTTTTATTGTTATTCAAAATGCCAACAAATAGGAATAGTGGTTGCAAGTTTAGAAGCCTCATTCTTTAAGTTTTTCCCTCTGTTTACTCCTACTGCCCACAGAATCTCATTTTATTTCTGCCAGAAATTCTTCAAAATTAAGATAATTAGAAAGCATTAAAATATACTAATCACAGATCTGCCAGGAAATTGTTACAATGTATTTGATTTCAAAATCAACATTCTGTTGACAGGATAATGTGGACAAGATAGTCAGATAAAATCTGTTATTTTTCACAATGGACTTCATTTTCACCAGAATAACAGAAATCAGATCTATTTAAAACTAAGCAGCATCATTGCGCCCATACTTATTAACTATTATTTATTAAGGGATGCAAACCACTGTTAAGCTAGCCAATTTAGGGGTTAGATGCAATTATGAACTGAAGTTCATTGGAAACTGAGGCAAAGGTTTCATCTCTTCTTGTGGTTGGAAGTGAAAAGGGGGAAAAAAGCACTGTTCTGCATTATGTTCAGTTTAGACCATTAATTAAAATACAAATTCTGGCCAATCTGGGAGTAGTCCTGCACACAACTGAATTCCTGGATAAATATAATGAAAGAAAATCAGACCACCAAGTAAAGTTTTAAATAAAACTTACCTATAATTTTTACAACCATATCATACATCTGTCTCGTCTCCTCTTCCTCTTTAGACCACCGATACTTCATATACCTGAATACTCCCCAAATCATTCCTATACCTGTGTAAAATAGGATGATTTATCTAGCTAAATAAACCAAATTCTATAAAAATTGAAGGCTGCTTAGAAAGAAGACATATCCGACACCCCACCTGAAAAAATCTAAATTTTCTAAAAATGTTCCAGAAGAATGTAAACAAGCATTATAAGATATTATTCAATATATCAAGACATCCACTGCTTTTATGATTGATTATGTTTACCTTTAATACTTTTGGGAAGTGTATTTTTAAATACTATGTTTACGTAGTATAGCCCCCATTAAACTAAATGGACAGTACTCATTATTTATGCAAGTTGCAAGGACAGGAAGAAGGCTTCCTCAGCCTTGTGCCCTCCAGGTGGATTGAACTATAAACCTATTGCAGCAAGTTGGACCATTTTGAGCACCTTTTTAGCTGCCTTCATCTCCTCCCAACACAAAGAAGGGGTAAGAATTTAATAAGCATAAATAAATAAAAAATAAAAACTCCCATAATCCCCAACCAACATATAGAATGACAACTGTGATAGTTCTAGTTCAAAACATTTAGATGCCCATAGGTTAAAGAAGCTGCTTGTGGAGATGCTGGTGCTTTTTCATTGAGCATCAAAAAATACTTCATTGGGCCATTGCTTTGTAAAAGTGAAGATAATGTGTGGACTGCCTGTGCATTAAAAGCATTTTGACATCATCAACCACACATCCAACCCATTATATTATGATTTCATAAAATGTTTGCTAATTTCTTCTTCTCTCGGTCTACTAAGAAAAAATTACCAAACCTTAAATACTCATTTTTAAAATCTTGAGATTCTGTGAAACCATTTCCCCAAAATAGGCTTTCATGAACACTGAAAAGAACTCACCTAAAACCAAGATTAATGATCTGCACAAGGCAGTAAAAAATGCACGACGGAAACGACATGTAAAAGACATCTGTGGTCTAGTTGATATTAAGTATTTTACATCAGTTGAATTGGTTATAGGTTCCTCATCAGAGCTGTGGCCAACACACCTATTAAAAAAGATATTCCAACCATCATGAATGAGGCACCGGCATGTGTACTTCTTCCTGCTCACTGAGCACTTGAACTCCATCTTTTGACTGCTGAACTCTACAATGCTACAATATCCAAATCAGCAAAAACTATGCTTAATATTTGCCATCAAAACCATTAGGAGAAGCGCAAGGTAATTTTCCAACTGTCATTTGTGATCTAGTGTATTTACTCAAACATCTTAGAAAACCATACAAGAATGGAAAGTCATGAAACAGAAGACGAGATGGCAACAGATGAAACCAGAACTTGCTTAAAATCAGTGAAACTCTAGCATTTAAAAGAATGTACGAAATTAAGCTTCTGGATAAAAAGGCTAGAGTACAAAATAAAATGACTTACTTAATGCCAACATCCTCTCCGCTATTTAGAATCCATTCCAAGCATTTGTTAAAGACATTTTCATAGTCGGCACCTAAGCTCTGGGGAAAAATGAAAATTGCATCAATACAAAGATGACTGAGGATCTGCCCACTCCAATATTGCCAAGATTGTGGTAACATGTTGTTGCATGTTCAATGTCAAAACAAACAAATACTATAATCCATAATACATTAAACCACTACACTCAATCATAGTCTTCAATATTTCTCTTTCAACATAAATAATAGGAGGAAGCACAAGCAACCAAGTTTGTTTAGAAAGCTTAGTACATGTTTATAAATAAACAATATTCCTGACTATAATCGGAACTTATATATTACATTCAAGATGATGAATGGAATATTTCTTTGAACCACTTCTACAAAAGCATTAAACATAGTGTTTGTAGATTTATTGCATCTGGCAGCTACCTAACAGGGCTGGAGAAAAGGCCAGGCCTCTGGATATGCCTGTCTGGATTGATTGGCTCTGGGCTCATCTGCTCTGAACAGATTTTATCAACAGATATTTCAGCTGTCAAACAATCACAAAATGCTTACTTTCTTCCTCATTATTTGTTATATTTTAGAGTCATATCAACCAAAATGTAAAACATCATGGCAGTATTAATAAAGTTGTTACTACTAACAGGGACTTCCTACTAAGTACAATTGCATCCAAAAACAATCCCTACTTTTTAAGCATCAAACTGTTACACTGAAACTGACAAATTAAAGCACCCAGGCATGTCACCAACAAGGAACAGGAAATGCAAAGTAAAAAAAAAGAAAGAAAAATACTGTATTTTTTTTACCATATATTAGAAAGCAAAGACATGTTTGTCTTTGCATACACCAGTAACAACTCCCATCAGTATGATCACAGACAACCCGACTATTTACTAATCGATCTAGCTCACATTCCTTCAGAATTTCTAAGATGCTTCTGGAAGTTCACAAGCAAAGTGATCTTCCAGAAGAAACTTAGAAATTCTGAAGGATGCTCAGCTAGATCAATTGGTAAATGGTGGGATTGTTTGTGGTCATGCCAACAGGAGCTGTTACTGGTGTCATCTTCCTCCACTATTTAGCATGAAGATATGTATTATTCCTGCAGTTACATCTCCTCTTAAAAGGACTCCCATCAACATTGACCACTTGATATCTTGGCTAGAGCTAATCTGATTCACAGCCCAATAAAACCCAGAGGGACAAAGGAGTAATTGAAAATACAAGTAGAAAATGCAAAAATACCACAGATAATTCCATTAAAATATATTTTGAAGTTGTTCTTACTTTTAAATATGCAGCAGCCTCCTGAATAGAAAGTCCTTTCTTGACAGAGTTGCCACATTCATGATCCCCTAGGAGAATCAAATTTGTATTATCTGTTTATATATTAAGCATCTTTGGTTTCAAATATCACACTGTTAAGCAACTAAAGAATATACACTTTGGGTGCATATGAGTATGTTATTTTCAAGTATTTTGTTATTTTGAGTAGTTTGCTATTTTCACTTTTTTATACTCTTAATTAAAAATATGCTCCTCTCTATAAATATAACCAACCCACAGATACTATTTACTTACTACCAGACAAGATGCTGCTACAGACATATATGTCTAACTAGAAGTAGCAATCACTGAGTTCAATGTTCGTCACTTACAGATAAGTAGGTATACTGGACTATAGCCCAAGCATCAGGTGGCACACCTTTATATTATTAAATAACATCTTAATACTATGACATTCTGAGTATATAGGTGTGGACCCCAATAAGAGAGTTCAAAGAAGCAAAGTTTACAGTCTTCTCCTCTCTGCATCCCCCCTATCCCTCACCAATTTTTTTTTAAAAGTCAGAAAGTGCTCCTAAACAATGTGAGATGATGAGGCACAGGCTGCTACTGGGGGGGGGGGGGGGGGGGGGGGGGGGGGGTCCAGATCAAGTTAGTTTATGGAGATTCATCCCAAAAATATGTCTTTTCCCTTAAACCACCCTCCACATCCCAATAAACACTGTTCAAGACAGGCTGCCAAGAAACTTCTGAAAGGTTTTTCATTCCAGGATGGTCCACCTAAGGCCTTTGCAAGTGGCTCCAGGTAGAGGGAAAGAATAGGAGTTTTTCCTGTACTGTACTTCCTTAAATTAATTATCTTAAGATCCAAGGCATGTGATGCACTCTTTACATTTCAATGTAAACATGGGATTTATACATATATGAAACTTGCAAGTATTCATTAATTTTGTTGAAAACTGTAAGAACACAAAAGCTAAAAGTAGAAGAGATTTAAATTAGTATGCAAAGGTTCTCCAATAATTATATAAAATGTAAGCAGAATAAATTTCATGGAATATAGAAGTATCGTTTTGAGAATTTATTTTAGAAGCAAGTTTTATTAATGTTAATCTATTTTAGTCAAGACTATAACTGTATAATAAGACAAGCAAACCATGATAAAAGTGTAAGAGCAATGCCAGATCAGACTGAAATTCAGCATTCCTTTTGCATGGTGGCTGAGTAGCTGCCATTGGTATGCCTGCCACCAGGAGAGTATGAGTGAAACTCCACACTTGGTCTCATGTTCCCCAGCAACTAATACTGTACACAGATGGATATTGCTTCTGATTCCAGGCTATTGGTGAAATGTATCTAAACTCTTTTGAAAATGACAGAATCACAGAATCCTAGAGTTGGAAGGCACCACAAGGGCTATCCAGTCCAACCTCCCGCAATGAAGGAATATACAATCAATGAACTCCTGAAAGATAGCCATCCAGCTTCTGTTTTAAAACCTCCAGAAAAGGAGTCTCCACCTTACTCCAAGGCAACACATTCCATGATTGAACAGTTCCGATCATCAAGAATTTCTTCCTAATGTTTAGGTAGAATTTAATGCTTCATTTGGGAGCAATATACTATTAAACATGTCACCTTCGTCCTAAGAACTTGAGAAGTATGAAGATTGAATATAGATTTTAAAATATGCATTCTACAATGTGCACTGCACAATGTGTATTGTTTTTAGACAGATCGTTTACAGGGTAATTTCAAAAAGATCCAAAGTTAGTAAGCCCAGATGGCTGAATCTGGAAGAATGAAGCTAGAAGCTAGATACTGATCGCAGATGGACAAACCTTGGCCAAGTTTAGGAAATGCTTTGAACTAGTGCACTTAAAAAATAAAAAACATTAAAAAGCCTATTCCAAGTGCAATGGTATCACTCTTAACTGAACTATCCCCCCCCCCCGCCCACCACCACCATGAAGGAAACAATTTCAGAAGAATTTAACATTCAAATAGCATTTTATACTTCAGAGTTAATAAACATAAACAGTGTGTCTCAAACTCAAGTTGAAGTTCATCCATAGAAGAAGCACATAACCATAATAATGGCCCATAAATCAATTTATGCTCATACATTATCAATTTACAAGATGTTTCAATTTTAATTTGGAGATAATACTTAACATTAATATTAGGTTAGTAAAAGTGAAGAGAGGCAGGAAGAAAGAGTCAGTATGTAGTTGAGACCAGGGTTCAAATCCCTGCTCAGCCACAGAAACCCACCACCCTCAAAGGAATGCAAAGGCAACCCTCCATGGAAAAAAAATTGCCACGAAACCCCCAAGATAGTTTAACTTTAGGGCCGCCATAAGTCTGAAATGACTGAAAGGCATACAACAACCAAGGGACAAAGAGATATTTCAGAGCTAGCATAATAAATTTACAATTTCTAAATAACCAGCTTCTTTTGCTAAGAACATGTAATAAACTATAGTTTGCTAAGAACATATAATAAACTCTAGTTTTCAAATAAAACATTGTCAAAATAAAGAAGACCTAGAATCAAAGAAAGGCACAGTAGAGACAATCTAAGGAGGGTGAACCTTCATTCCTCAAAGTATAACCATAATAAATTCCACATTCCTTAGAAAAAGATAGAGAAAGCAAAACTGAGGTCAAATTCAACACTGAAATTTAACTGTCAGATCTTTCATATATGACTTTCAGCTGAATAATAATAATTCCTTTATATATTGTACTTTCAATAGCAATTGCTGTTAATTTAGTGCAAAAACACAACCTAAATTAAAATTTTGAATTCACTGATGTTCTATATATAATGGATTGATGCAGACTTGAGCAAGCTCAACAAGATTTTCCAATCCCCCTTTCCCACATAGCAACTCATCCAGTTCCCTGAAAATTGACAGAGTGAGGTGAACATTTGATTTTAGCATTCTATCTGATGAAGCAGTCCAGAATTTGAAAGTAGCCTTAGTGTTTAGTTGGTCCCATCTGAAGCCATTATCATGCTGTAATATCTTTTGCTGATTAGGCAAACACAGCTGATTATAACTTTTCTAGCTTAATAGTAGCTTTTCTAATTAATACAACTGCATTTCATTTTCATTTAATATTGTAATGAGTATATTTCAAGAATTCAGCCAACTTTCACCACTTCTATTTCAACAAATTTTTCCAAAATTAAAACTTCAGTAATGGGGTGTGCCTTACATTTGATGGCACTTTGGATTCAGTGAAATACTGCACCTCGTTTATTTTTACACATATGCATTCTGATATTCAATAGTTTAATAATACTTTTAAATGCTTACCTGCTATCTGTGCCAGCTTGTCGTGAAGTATGTACAAGCTATTCATGAGAATGGTTTCATTTGCCTAGAAATGTAAGAAACCAGTCAACAAATCTTGTTAATGTGTGTTTAATTTTGATAGAATTAAAAACAACATAGTTCCTTAGTTTCTAACAGCCACCCCAGATTATGAAGTATAAGATTACAAATATTCAAAACTATCATTTGAAGGCAAGAAATATGCCTTCATATTGATAAACTCAATAGCAAAAAGAATGGGAAAAAAAATAAAATGCTTTGTCTTGACTATATGGATTTAAACAACTTACTTTCCCATGTGTCTAAATCCATATGGTTTGAACTACAATTATTCCAGAATTGTCGAAGGCTTTCATGGCTGAAATCACTGGATTGTTGTAGGTTTTTTTCAGGCTATATGGCCATGTTCTAGAGGCATTCTCTCCTAGGACACGGCCATATAGCCCGAAAAAACCTACAACAACCCATTCCAGAATTGGCTCAAAGAAGAGTGAAGTCATAAGATATATGAAATATTGGATTATTCCTGGATAATTATTAAACACCTTCACCATGAAGGGTCTAATCTGGCTTTCCAAATCCAGTCAACAGCAGAAAATTTTAACTGAGAATAAAACCTTTTTTTTTTTGTCAGGAGCAACTTGAGAAATTGCAAGCCGCTTCTGGTGTGAGAGAATTGGCCATCTGCAAGGACGTTGGCCCATAGGACGCCCAATGTTTGATGTTTTACTATCCTTGTGGGAGGCTTTTCTAATGGCCCCGCATGGGAAGCTGGAGCTCAACCTGCTCTCCCTGGATTCGAACTGCTGACCTACCAGTGAGCAGTCCTGCCTGTTTAACCCTGCCTGTGGGATTTTGAAAACAAATTATACAAGTTGTTTACACATTTCTCAGTTCTAGTTCAATAACTGAAATTAATACATCTTCCACAGTACATTGACTCATATATTAAAAACAAAACACCACAATCTCTCCTCATTCAATTTTGCAATATCTCATTCTATGCTCTGTATTCAAATGGTTCAAGTCCAGTTTTAAAATATAAGCCACTTTTCAGAGGCCCACACAAGAACTTCTCAGTTACATTAGGCAGAAAACATAAGTTTTTCAATAACAGATGTCTAGCACACAATAAACCAATCTCCATAGTAAATCCACCTAAGACTGAAACTGGTCCATAACCAATTTAATGAAATATCAGGCAGTGATGGTCAGAAGCCAAGAAACAGTCTTCAACATGGCTTTTAAATATATACTTACATTTACATCAAGGTTCCCAATGGACAGATTTTTGCCTATTAAAAGAAAAAATAAAATCACTTAATATCATTTTAATGCCTAGTTGCTGCAATTAAAGGAGTAGGCCAGGATGTGGGCTTCTGTGTAACAAGCATATGAGTTCAGTTTTGATAATGAAAACAAATACTCAGAGGCAAATTCCTTAGTTCTATCCCGAGCAACTTCTTTATAACTGACTTTAATTTGGTGAATCTATTTTTTTGCTAAGTGCTGTCAAGTTGACTTAGACTCATGCCAACACATTGAATGAAAGACCTCCAAGTTACCTTAACTTGAACAGACTTGCTCAAGTCTTGCAGACTCAGGACCATGACTTATTCAGTCCTCCTCTTTGCCTTCTATGACTTCTTTTAAAAAATGAGGTCCTGGAAGCACTGAATTCACTCATTTATATTTCTACATATAGATTATTAATTATGTATGTGCCTTCAAGTCATCTGTTGACATAAGACAAATCCATGAATTTCATAGGCATTTTCTTAGGCAAGGCTTTGCCAGCTCCTTTCTCTAAAATATAGCATGTAACATATGGTATATTTTAGTAATAATCCATTCAAGTAATAACCAGAGCTTAGCTTCTATGATCAGACAGGATCTGATGCTTTTAAGCTACTGCACAGAAATGCAGTAACACTTTATGTGGTCCTAAAACCCTTGACTTTGGGTGGAGGACAGGGAAAATGTACAGAATCCATGGATACAAAAGGTGTACTAATGGTGCTGTATAAATAAATCATCACCAATTTTTTCTACTTCATTAAACACAACAAAGCAGTTTTTAAAATTAAGCTAGCTTTAGTAAAGCTGAGGGAATAAGAGAAAAGAGAACAACATGCAAAGAGGCAGCACAGCATCTAGGCACACAACTTGCTAAATAATGACTTAGCCTTAATGGGGAAATCCAGACAATACACTGTATCAAGTGTAGACTGATCAACAATCTGGGATGCGATGATGGAGGGTAAGTTGCGGAAAGATAACAAGTTGAGGAAGGCTGACCCCTTCAATAGAGTTGAAGTATTGCCCAATACAGGGAAATACCTTTAAAGGCCAGCATATAAAACATGGGATCTCCCCAGTGAACTGTTTTGTGATTTGTATCATATAGTTTTAAAAGTACAATATATATTTATTTCCTCAGAACTGAACATAGATTTGACAGAAGTTTCATGCCCAATGTATTGGCCAACAGCTACACCACACAAATATTTCATCATTCAATTTCTGGCACTGAAAATTTCTTGTTTCCTAATCTTGCATATTATATATACTTTAGAATCGCTGACAAGATACACATTCACATGCACACACCAATCTTTATACAATGATAAAGACTTCTCTATTCTGGAATGAACTTGCAAAATCTAACATAATGGGGAGAATATTTTGGACAGCAGTTCCCATAAGTCTCAGGCACCATGACCAATTTTAAGAAATTAAAGGAGCTGTCATTCAAAATATCAAGAGAGCCAAAGGTTCTTCAGCCCTGAGAGAGGAGTAAATTAAAAGAGCAATAGGCTGTCAAAATGTGCTCTGCATCTTATTAATAAAGATGTACAAATAACATGTGAATTTACAATAAGTTTATTTCCCTAGTATGCCTTCTTCGGTTGTTTCATGAATTAGACATGAATTATGTGAACTTAGCCATCACAATATGCAGTATCAATTTGCTAAAACTACAGGTGAACAAATATGCATGATCTCATGGTTTTAAATTAGGGGCTTTATTTATATTTGCACACACACACACACCCTTGTCTGTCTCTCCAAACTACTAAGCATACAGTCTAGAGACAACTGCCACAATTATGGGGAAACATTATGATTTGGTACTGAATTCTTTCTTTTCTTTGGTAACTCTCATTAACAAGCATTTCAGAACCAGTGACGTGTAGTGGTCTCAATATCTGACTACAACTCTGGAGACCAGGGTTTGAATCTTCACTCAGCCATGGATATCCACTGAGTGACTTTGGGCAAATCACTCCCTCTCAGGCTGAGAAGAGCAAACAGACCTTGCCAAGAAAACCCAAATACAGGATCACTTTAGGGCTGCCATTAAGTTGCAAATGGCTTGAAAGCACACAACAACAAAAGATATTCCATGTATCTACCCACTGTTTGCAGTGCTCCAAACAATTTAAAGCCAAACTTGGTAAAATGGTAACGGTGAACTTTGGAGTTTTTGAATCTCAACATACATCAAAGGTTTATCAGTGTTGCTGTACTTAAAAAAAACACAGTTCTGATAATTTACCTATCATGAATTTTGGATATAAAAATTCAGAAAGCCAATTATATAATAATAAAGAAGGGATCAAATATTATTTGTAGAGCTAAACCTATAATGTGATGCAGTATTTTAGAGAAACACTACATCTGACCATATATTTATATTCCTAAAGCCCAACATGACTGACCACTTGTTAAGGGTGCTGGGACTTGCAGGCTAACATCACCTGTATGGTCACATGAATCCTACCCACAACTTACAAACAGAACTGTGACTTCAAGATGAATCTTCTTTTATCCATGCTTTCCTAATAAACAATGTTTTCACAACCTACGAAACTATAATATACTAAAAGAACTATCAAGATAGAGAAAAAACATTTTTCACATAGCAGCTAGGGTATTACTGTTACTCAGTTTGATGTGAAATGATCTACTATTAATTTCTCTGTGCCCAGGGTGTGTATATACATGTGTGAACCTTGACATACTTCTATATAAAATGCAGCATGCATTGTGTTCAAGATGTTTTTGTGGGTTTTTTTTTTTTTTTGCTAGAATAACTATAAACCAATGAACAAGTGTTTCAATACTGGTCAGAAAGTTCCATTTCTGAACTTAAAATCCCTTAAGCAGACACCAGATCCTGTCTGATCTTGCAAACTAAGAAGGATCAATCTTATTAGTTAGATGGGAGACTGTCAACAATACCAAGTGCTGTAGGTTATATTTTAGAGCAGTAGTTCCCAACATTTGGTCCTCCAGGTGTTTTAGAATTCAACTCCCACAATTCCTAAAAGCTGGTAAGCTGGCTGGAAGTTCTGAGAGCTGAAGTCCAAAACACCTGGAGGACCAAATGTTGGGAACTACTGTTGGGAAACCATGGGCCCTTCCAGACAGGCACTATATCCCAGAATCTAATCCCAGGTTTTCTGTTTTAAACTGGATTATATGAGTCCGCACTGCCAGATAATCTGGGATAAACAGAAAATCTGGGATCAGATTCTGGAATAGAGGAATAGTCTGGAAGGGCCCCATGTCTGAATATTCCTTGCATAAGAAAACTATAGTTGACAGGTGACTTGAAGGTCCATACACACAAACAAATCATGCTTCTTTTAGCCATTAACCCCTCCCTTCAACTGTTAGAAGCCACTGCAATTTAACCAGTGATAAAAGATAATGTGAAATTGTATTTTATCATAATTGCAAACTTTTCAGAAAGAGCTTCTCAGGCCCCTTCCACACAGCTGAATAAAATCCAACATTATCTGCTTTGAACTGGAATACATGGAATGGGAATAAGATAACCCAGTTCAAAGCAGATATTCTGAGATATAGGGCTGTGTGTAAGGGCCCTCAGAAACTGAACAGAAGCTGCTATGTCACTTCATGCATTACAGACACTAATACTGGAAGCACTTCCCTCAAGGAATCAGCATACTACACAATGTAATGAGGCTTACAAGATACTATTACATAATAAATTATACTATGCAACTACTTTATTCTGCAATAAACATGTTTCCCATGTGCAAACATTGTAATATGTGAAGCGGCCTCCAGGATAAAACATGCACTGGAATGAAGACCAAACTGTTCTTTAAGGTATTATTTGCATCCCCCACCTGAGAACCCTCACTAGGCTACAGGTCACAAGCTTTGGATCAAGTTTCCATTTATAAACCAGGACTGTGGATTTAACAGTGGGATATACCTCCATGAAGGATGGTGGCCTCTGCTTCTTTGGAGGTCCCTAAACTGAAGTTTGAAGCCAATCTGTTGGGAGTATTTCAGGTGTATAAAAGGGGGATGGACCACAACTGTTGTGGTACCATTATATCTATAATTCTGTAATTCCAAGGCACAACAATTCTGAGAAAGAAAGCACCAAAGCACCAAGGTACTCAACTAGTGTCCAATGCACTACTTCCTGATAAAAGAATTAAAATTAAAACAGAGCAGTTTTTCAAACTGTGCTCCTGCAGGTGTTTTGGAGTTCAGCTCCCACAATTCCTAACAGTAGGTAAATTGGCTGGGATTTCTCTTAGCTTAAGTCCAAAACACCTGCAGGAGCACGGTTTGAGAAACATTGTGTTAAAGCAGTGGTTCTCAACCTGGGGTCCCCAGATGTTTTTGGCCTATAACTCCCAGAAATCCCAGCCAGTTTACCAGCTGTTAGGATTTCTGGGAGTTGAAGGCCAAAAACATCTGGCGACCCCAGGTTGAGAATCACTGTGTTAAAGCATTTTCACGAAACATAAGGTTTAGATGCAGGTATGGGCAAACTTCAGCCCTCCAGGCTCCCTCCCAAAATTCCTAAGAGCCAGTAAACTGGCTGGGATTTAAAGTCCAAAACACCTGGAGGGCCGAAGTTTGCCCATGCCTAGTTTAGAGTTAGAGCAGTGGTTTTCAACCTGGGGTCCCCAGGTGCTTTTGGCCTTCAACTCCCAGAAAACCTAACAGCTGATAAACTGGCTGGGATTTCTGGGAGTTGTAGGCCAAAAGCATCTGGGGACCCCAGGTCGAGAACCACTGACCTACAGGGTCAAAGTTTGCCCATACTTGGGTTACAGTATCCCATTTGGACCTCTTTGCAAATTCTTAAGCGGCTGAGCAGGGAAGGGGCCTAAGGCTGTTAGGAATTGTGGGAGTTGCAGTCCAAAACATCTGGAGAGCCAAAAGTTTGCCCATGCCTGGTCTACACTGCCATATAATCCAATTCAAAGTGGATAATCTGGATTTTATATGGCAGTGTAGAAAGGGCCCGAGAAAGGTCTGAAACTTGGTCAGAACAGCATCCAAAACACCTGGAGGGCTGAAGCTTGCCCATACCTGGGTTACAGTATCCCATCTGGAGCTCTTTACAAACTCTTAAGCCGCTGAGGGGGAAAGGAAAGGGGCCTGAGGCTGTTAGGAATTGTGGGAGTTGAAGTCCAAAACACCTGGAGGGCCAAAAGTTTGCCCATGCCTGTCTTACCCTCTGCAATACACTCTCAAGACACATCCATTTACTCCACTGTCATTCTGGCTTGCCACAGGACTTCAGCCTCCAACCCTAATACTTACTGTCAACTCCCCCATCCACAGCCACTCCAGACCCCCTCATCCTCAGGTAGGTGAGTCCCAGCACCAGGAAAAACAAACAGGCCGCAGTCAAGAGGCACATAGACAGGTAGTGAGCACTGAACCCTCCAGTAGTGGATATCTCTTCCCTCTTGAACTGCTGAAGCAGGTCTTCTTCGGGCTCGGAAAGCTTCTGCTTGTAGATATTTTTCAGGTACGCATGGTTGGGACCCGTGTGGTTGGAGTGATTCATTCTGGGAGGAGCAGCCCCGCCAGGAGAGATGCTGTTGGTGGCGGCGGGTGCGTAGATCCTGGATTCAGGGCCCAACCCGCCATCGGCCCCCAGAATGTGGTTGTTGGCCGGCTTCCTGCCCAAGTCCAAGTGCGGCAGGAAGAGGCCTTTCTTGGAGGCGCCGTGGCGGAGCCTGGGCAGGCCGCCTTCCTCTTGACCCCTGGCTGCCCTGTCCAGCTCACTCGCGCTGCTCTCCATGGAGTCATCCCCATCTCCATCAGCACAAGGATGGCTGGAGAAAGGGACCCCTTTGCTGAGGCCCTTCCTTGCCAAGTAGTGGCGGGTCAACGAGGCGTCCTTCTCCTCCTCCTCCTCGTCCTCTTCTTCCTCCTCCTCTTCTTCTTCCTCTTCCTCCTCAGAGTCGGAGTATTTCTCCCTCCGGCTATAAGACAGGAACCGGTTGCCGTTCACCGCCCTGGCTTTGCAGCGCTCTCGAGGTGCTTCGTCTCCCTCCTCCTCCTCGCCTTGGTGGTGGTGCTGCTGCTGCTGCGGCGGCTGAGGCGCTTCCCAAGGCCCCGCGGAGGCCCTCCACCAAGCGTGAGGCCTTCGTCGCGCCGGCGCCTCAGCCAGGCCTCCGCTACTGCTATGCGGGAGGCAGCCTGAGGGCGAAGGAGGAGGAAGAGGAGACGCCGCCGCCGCTGCTGCCTCTGCCGCAGAAGCAGCAGTAGGCCTCGGCTCCCGGCGTGCAGCTGAGGCGCGGTCCCTCCTGCTGCTGCCTCCAACGAGGCTTCTAGGCCCGGCCTCCGCGTCCGACTCGTCCGAGCTGAAGCCCAGCAAGACTTTGTTGTTGCTGCTGCTGCTGCTGCTGCTGCTGTGACTGCCGCCGGGAAAAGGGGAGAGCTCGGCCAAGCCGCCTCCCGGCCCCGGGTGGAGAAGGTGTCCGCTGTTGCGGGTCTTGGAGGCCCGCTCCTCCTCCCGCAGCTTCTTCAGCTTCTTCAGGTACACCGGCCGCGTGCTCTCCGTCACCGGGCCCGGAGAGAAGCCCAGGCGCCGTAGCTCCGAGAAGAGCTCCTCGTCCGTGAGCTGCGCGGCCGCCGCCATTTTGCTCGCTCGCGCCTTTCCCTCCCTCAGCCTCTCTCTCGCTCTCTCCGCCGCCGCTGCTTCCGACCCACGCGCCTACCGCCCGCCGCCGCCACCTAGAGGAGCGGTCTGAAAGGTGTTCCGCCCACACTTCAGGTTCTCCGACGCTCATCTTCCTCCTCCATCTGCGGGGAAAGAGTACTTTCAGAATGTCTTCAGAGGGAAAACTCAAGGCAACCCCCCCCCCCCAAATACTGCAACACACTGTGGCTGTGTATATATGTGTGTTTACATATATATAGAGACATCTCCAGCTCATCCCCTGTTTGGGTATCAGCCAGCACGTCAACGACTTAAATCAAGACATAGTTTTCTTAGATCTACAGAGACACTCGCTGGAACACCCCAGCAAGCGAGAGTCCAAAAGTGGCAGGCCCAAACCCAGCACCTCAATCCATGGGTGATACCAGATGAGAGACTCCCCCCTGGGCACACAGAAGACTGGGCGACTTGGAAGGCGCTGAACAGACTGCGCTCTGGCACCACGAGATGCAGAGCCAATCTTAAGAAATGAGGCTACAGGGTGGAATCCTCGGCATGCGAGTGCGGAGAAGAACAAACCACTGACCACCTGCTGCAATGCAACCTGAGCCCTGCCACATGCACAATGGAGGACCTTCTTGCGGCAACACCAGAGGCACTCCAAGTGGCCAGATACTGGTCAAAGGACATTTAACCAACTACCAAGTTTGCAAAATCTGTGTGTTTTTTTTTTCTTTTTCTTTTTAATGTGTTTTTTTTTGTTCGGATCTTTTCCATGTAGAATCATAGAATCAAAGAGTTGGAAGAGACCTCATGGGCCATCCCATCCAACCCCCTGCCAAGAAGCAGGAATATTGCATTCAAATCACCCCTGACAGATGGCCATCCAGCCTCTGTTTAAAAGCTTCCAAAGAAGGAGCCTCCACCACACTCCGGGGCAGAGAGTTCCACTGCTGAACGGCTCTCACAGTCAGGAAGTTCTTCCTAATGTTCAGATGGAATCTTCTCTCTTGTAGTTTGAAGCCATTGTTCCGCGTCCTAGTCTCCAAGGAAGCAGAAAACAAGCTTGCTCCCTCCTCCCTGTGGCTTCCTCTCACATATTTATACATGGCTATCATATCTCCTCTCAGCCTTCTCTTCTTCAGGCTAAACATGCCCAGTTGCCTAAGCCGCTCCTCATAGGGCTTGTTCTCCAGACCCTTGATCATTTTAGTCGCCCTCCTCTGGACACATTCCAGCTTGTCAATATCTCTCTTGAATTGTGGTGCCCAGAATTGGACACAATATTCCAGATGTGGTCTAACCAAAGCAGGATAGAGGGGTAGCATTACTTCCTTAGATCTAGACACTATGCTCCTATTGATGCAGGCCAAAATCCCATTGGCTTTTTTTGCCGCCACATCACATTGTTGGCTCATGTTTAACTTGTTGTCCACGAGGACTCCACGATCTTTTTCACACGTACTGCTCTCGAGCCAGGCATCCCCCATTCTGTATCTTTGCATTTCATTTTTCCTGCCAAAGTGGAGTATCTTGCATTTGTCACTGTTGAACTTCATTTTGTTAGTTTTGGCTCATCTCTCTAATCTGTCAAGATCGTTTTGAATCCTGCTCCTGTCCTCTGGAGTATTGGCTATCCCTCCCAATTTGGTGTCGTCTGCAAACTTGATGATCATGCCTTCTAGCCCTTCATCTAAGTCATTAATAAAGATGTTGAACAGGACCGGGCCCAGGACGGAACCCTGGCACTCCGCTTGTCACTTCTTTCCAAGATGAAGAGGAAGCATTGGTGAGCACCCTCTGGGTTCGTCCATTTAACCAATTACAGATCCACCTCACCGTAGTTTTGCCTAGCCCACTGGACTAGTTTCCTTGCCAGAAGGTCATGGGGGACCTTGTCGAAGGCCTTACTGAAATCCAGGTACGCTACATCCACGGCATTCCCCGCATCTACCCAGCTTGTAACTCTATCGAAAAGAGATCAGATTAGTCTGGCATGACTTGTTTTTGATAAATCCATGTTGACTATTAGCGATGACCGCATTTGTTTCTAAGTGTTTGCAGACCATTTCCTTAACAATCTTTTCCAGAATCTTGCCCGATATAGACGTGAGGCTGACCGGACGGTAGTTGTTTGGGTCATCCTTTTTTCCCTTCTTGAAGATTGGGACCACATTGGCCCTCCTCCAATCTGCTGGAACTTCTCCCGTTCTCCAAGAACTCTCAAAGATGGTTGCCAATGGTTCCGAAATGACTTCCGCTAGTTCCTTCAATACTCTGGGGTGTAGTTGATCTGGCCCTGGGGACTTGAACTCATTAAGAGCGGCCAGGTATTCCTGGACGACTTCTTTCCCAATTTGGGGTTGGATGTCCTCCAACCCCAATCTCTTCTCATCTATCTCTTGACTGATCTCTTCTCATCTATCTCTTGGCTCATTATCTATTTTCTCTCTTGGCTTGTCATCTATTTGCTCATTAATTTCTGCAGGTGCATCCCCACACCCCTCATGGACATTATCATGGGAAACATGGGATCTCCTGGTCATTCTCTGCATCAATATCACTGCTATCTTGAAACTCATCTTGAACCTCATTAACACCATTCCCTATATCCAAAGCACCCTGATCCTGAAACACAATCACAGGCTGAACTCCAACAAGTACTTTATGTTGAGTTATACCTGCAATCTCCTGCAAAGAATCGTTGCCTTGTCGTGGTGCTGGAGCTTGAGCACCTCGATGATGCCATGAGTGAAACTGTGAAGGGATACCAAAGACAGAAAGGTCATGGCAGAGAGATCAGACCAAATACGATCCCTGAAGAAGGTAATGGCAATCCACCCCAGTATTCTTGCCATGAAAACTAAATGGGTCTGTACAACCAGAGATATGTCAATATACCATTGGAAGATGGGACTCCCTGTTGCATCCCAGATCAGGAAACGAGACCATAAGATTCAATCCACCACACTGGACTGTGAGAAAAACAATCCTTTTTTATTGATGAAAAATGGTTACAAAAGAAAAGTAAATGCAAAGTCAAAAAGCCACAGTAGAAACTCAGCAGTCAGGAAAAATCTTTGAACTTGAGCAAAATTCCAAAAACAACAATACAGACACCAGGAACCTGTTAGCATCACTAACCATACTTGAAAACTAGAAGCCTCTGGGAATGCAGGCCATGGAACGCAGGAAAACTGCCAAGGTGCTGCCTCAGTCTAAAACGTTGCTTGATCTAATGAGACAACCGGGGGGAGGCCCCTTAAACCAAAGAAACTATTTCTTGAAACGCCTCCAGACTTTGAAGCCTCCCTCTCCCGTAATCCATTTGACCTTCGTAGAAACCGTGATTCACTCCTGTTTTTCCAAATCTGTTCCCTTCGGTCCTCATTAAAAAACCCAGGTGTGATTCCCTCTGGAGAGCTATCACGGCCTGATTCCAAAACATTCTCATCAGGCTGTTCAGTTTCACTTTCCCCGCCACTGACTTCAGCATCAAGGGTTTCAACACTATCAGGGAAAGATACATGTTCAGTGGCTTGCTCAGTTGCATCAGGAAATACACTCAGAGAATCAGGTTCACACAGAGATTGAGGCTCAGTTTCACACGGAGGTGGCTGAACCCCAACACTCCCAGGTTGGAAAGATGGTCAAAATGCTACTGGGGAGGAACAGAGGGTAAGTTCAACTAGCCCCAGATGTGGAGAAGATAATGATGCTGGGAAAAAAATGGAAGGAAAAAGGAAGAGGGGCAGACCAAGGACGAGATAGATGGATGGTATCTTTGAAGTGACTGCTTGACCTTGAAGGAGCTGGGGGTGGCCACAGCCGACAAGGAGCTCTGGTCCATGAGGTCACAAAGAGTCAGAAGCGACTGAATGAATAATAATAAAAAACACCTGCAATCCATCTTATACAAAGGCTAGCTTCTTCCAGGCAATCAACCTTTCCCAAAAATGGTAGCTAAAATCCTGCATTGCATTGGTAAATGTAATAGAAATAGCTAATGCTATGTCTATTCCTCTTTCCTTGAACATATTGGGGATTTTCCAAAAATGTTTCTAAACTGTGGATAAAGCATGCAAATGAATTTCCCTGAAAATAGCTAATAGACCATTGCTGAATTCTGTGTTTTGTATAAGATTCTGTGGTGTAGGGCAAAACTATACAAGAACCACACTAAATCAAAACTCAAAGTAAACGATGCTTATAGATACAAACTAAGTACAACAATTTTATTTCACTCCTAGATTCTTAGAGTTCCCAAACTATGTTGTAAGGGCAATAGAGGTTAACCGTTGCCCTCCAGCAATTGGCATTTATTAGCATATTTTAAAATTAAATATGGATAATTAATCTATGACTAATAATTATTGATGTTCCAGTTCTCACATCATATCACTTTGCTAATCTGGTGTCTGGAAGAAAAATCCATATGTCTACAGGTCATGCTTTGACATTCCTTGATATGTACCAAAATATGATAGTTGTACCCATACCACCTGAACAGTATAGGTTATTTATTTATTTATTTATTTATTTATTTATTTATTTGAAGACGGCTCGGAAGCTCCAGCTAGTCCAACGCTCGGCAGCCATGATACTAACAGGAGCGGAGCGCAGTGTTGTGTTTCTTGGTCAGGTGCTAGTTGTGTGAGAATTTGGAATCTATTGTGTAACTGCAGCTGAGCGGAAGTATTCTGAGGAGGCTTCCGGGTCCTATGTGTCCTTCTAAGGGTGACATTTCTCCAAGCCTGAGGGTTGTCCACATCTGAGGTGCTGTTCTGTTGAGCCTCCCCGTAATGTTGGTGTGATATGGGCTGCGTGTCTAGGACAGTGTGGTGTGTGGTGTCTAAGAACAGCTCAAGTTCCTGAATGTCCTTAAGGGTCTTAATACGGTCCTCGAGTTGTCGGATCCTGTGTTCCATGCGAGTGATCTGTTTACACTTGGGGCAGATGTAATTGAGTAATTGTAGTGTGAAAAAGCTGAACATGCCACAGCTTGTGCATGAGACGGGAAGTTTTCGTGTTTGTTCCATCTGGAGGTTGCTAATGACCTCCTCTTGGTG